AGGGTGTGGGCGGGGGGGGGGGCGGGCCCGGCCCCGAGCCTCTTTCTTTAAAGTGTGGCGTGCGGGCGAGCGGCGATTGCGACACCCTCCCGCTCCGCCCGCCCCCTCGCCAATCGCCACCCAGCCGGCCGCCGGGATGATGCAATAGCCGCCCGGATTGGCAGCCGGCGCGGCCAATCAGGCCGCCGGCGCTCTTAGAGGGCGAGGCCGTGTTGTGGTGGGGTTTGTTGTTTTTTGGGGTTGGGGTTTTTTTTGTTTTTTGGGGTTGGGGTTTTTTTTTCTTTCCGTGGGGACGGTGCGTGTCCCGTGAGGCTGCGCCCTGCTTGCGCGGGGCGGCGCCGGCCCCGCCCGCCGCGTCGGGAGCCCGGAGGGCCCGGGGGGTGTCACGGCTTCCCCGGGTTTGTGCTCCCGTGCTGCTGCCGGCGGGGCGGGGGGAAGCCCGCTGCACGGCCACGCGTGTCCCCGGAGCGCCCGGCTGCGCCCTGGCCCAGCCTGCGGGCGCCATCTTCCCCTCTCCGGGGGGGGGAGAGGGCCGGAGGAGGCGTCGAGAGGCCTCCCCTCCCGCCCCGGGGGTTGGCGGGAAGAGGAGCGAGCCGGCCGTCGGTGGGGAGCCGGGCGGCCGCCCCCGGGCCGAGGAGCCCGGCGGCACCTCCGGGCGGGCCCCAGGCCTGCCTTCTGCCCTCAGCCTGAGGGAGAGAAGCCGAACCCGTGTTTCCGCGGTCACTTCCCCTCACAGGCAGCGCGGGGAGCTCATCCCCGGGCCACGCGTGAGGGAGAAGGCAGTCTCGGTCCCCCCGCGGGGCCGGGGCCGGGGCCGGGGCCGGGCTGGGTGGTTTCTGGGGGGCAGCTGGCACGAAGTTGGCCAGCGCCCCGCGGGCATCGGAGTAGATCGTGTTGTGTTTCTGTACCGATTGGCATCTCTTAATTGTTCCTGGGCTGCTAATGAACACCTGGCAGCGTATTCCCATCTCAGCGTAGCTGCTGTGTGGGTTGCCTCTGCAGGATGTTGTGAGGTGCAGTGGAAGGAATACCAAAGACATCAAATAAAAACGTTGACTGTTCTCTTGACAACAGAAATTATGGCAGATTCCTAAGTTTTGTAGATGATTAGCTAATTTGCCTTTTCAAACATACTTTAAAAAGACAGGAAAGCTAAACGCTGGCAGATTAGGAAACATCTAGGTCATAAGAGTTAAATGTCATAGGAAGATTATGCCCCGATTCACTGGTATGTGTTTGTTATTGTAAAATACGTTTTGTAGAGAAGAACTTTTTTGGCCCTTAATATTTTCCAGACACTTTGGTTCACATCACCGTAGTTCTGCCTAAACAAGCACGGTATAAAAATACATATGCTCACATCTCTAAGTTGTATGTGTGCAGGATGTGTTTATAGCTCTTCAAATGGGAAATACACACTTCAGTACATAGGTATGCATATTTTCAGTGGGCAGTTCTAAAAACCATTGGTTTATAAGCAAGTTTTGAACGAGTTTAGGTGTGCAGACAGTGAACGCAGTACTGGCGAAAGAGTAGTTTTTGTTTAAATGCAGAGAGAAAAAGTACCAGTCTGTATGCTGCTCCAGTTTAGCACGTAGACTTACTTGGGAAATGTTTCATGTCCGCAAAAGAAGAGGGAAGAATCAGATTTGTGAACACAGTTGCAGAGCTCAGTAATGTAGATATAATTCTTTGTATTTGCCATTTTTATGGCTGTCTGATGTTGTGTGGGGGTTTTGTTGTTGTTTTTGTAAAGCCCTGTGGAAAATAAACCACATTTGCAGAAGAATTCTGAGGATTAGTCTGGGCAAACAGTTTTACTCAGCTCATTACCATGAAGATACTTTTCCTTGTCAGTCATCAAGTATTTGCTTTAACATCTCTAATGTTTTCTCAGTTGAAACTGTTACATTTTCTGTGACAATGACTCATCCATCTATAGCTAGAGCGAAATTCCAGGTAAGCATTAAACATTATCCTTTTCTCACAATAGTTAAGTAAGTGTGTGCTCTTACAGTGCTTTCCTAGGATTTTAGAGCACTTTATGACCATTCATTCATTAATCCTCATCAGAGCAAGCTGAAGAAAATAAAATGTAGACCAGTTTATTCTCATGGAGTCTGATAATTTTAAACATTAAAGCTCACACATAATTCCATGCACATAAGGTGCTCCAGCGCTTGGTTGGCATTGTATCCTATTACAGGAAAACCATCACACAGTGTACTTTAGTGTTTGCAGGATTTTTTTTTTTCCCCACAGCGTTACAGTAAAAATAAAATACGATGGAAGTGACCTAAAAAGTAATCACAGAAATATAGGGGCAACTGCTCTTCAGATGTGGCATTGAAATACACACTTTACCTGCTTATTTACAAGTTACATGAGCTGTGCAGTAGCTCTGGACTCGGGTGTCGCAAGCAGGCTGGTCCCTGCTGGGATGGAGTCCTTTTCACTCTGATTCTGAATGTGTTCCTATAGCAACGGTCTACCTCTATGACTATAGATAATATTGTAATAGTATCTTATTTTCATGTGCATAATCTGGTCTCATGGTTCTTTAAAGACTGTAGTCCTGAAAAAAAATTACACAGATATTCAGCATCTTCAAGTAATCCACCGCAAATCACAGTTAGAGGCAGAAAGGCTGTTAAGGAAATAGAAACTGTGGGAATTGGAGGCAGAAGGTATAAAGGGGAAAGGAGCCTGTGGGGATAAATGTCCCTGTTTATTACCCACTCAGTCTGTTCTCTTAACGCTTAAAAAAACATTTAAGACATTCTCGGCAGCCTTCCACTTAACAGTGTGAAAACTATTTTGTTGCCATTTGAATAATTTCTGTTGTGTCCGATTCCACTGTTTATGCACGTTACCTCTGTCTTCATGGGCAATTATTTCTTTGTCCTAAAATAAAAACCATACAAACACCCTGGACTACAACCTACACTTTAAAAAATACATTTTTCTGTAAACATTCAGTTCTTTACCTCTATTTCCTTCATGGATAAGCCTTCACTGGATTTTTTTACTTCAGACGTGCGCATTTCCGTTAAAGGTTTACTTTTTACATGTGATGCTACTGTGTAGTTTTTTCCCTCTGGTCTAACATCCATGCCTTTGAATTCTTCTAGATGAGAAGTCAGTAATTTCCTTTCCAGTGATTTAGAAGAGAGGAAAATAAATGTATTTGTATATATATTTTACAAGAGGAAATAAATAGGCCCCTTAGGTAAAAACACACCATTGCAGGCTGTGATGTACAGTGTGTTAATGTATTTGAGGGCAAATGCACTGAATTATAACAAAATAAAAGCTTTTCTTGGTAACTGCTACCCCTATTCTCTCAACCTAGATTTGTTCAAAACTAGATAGAAACGCTCTCTGAGTATGATTGCATTCCTTATGATCACCAAGGAGATGACATTCATTCAGGAATATCCCAGAAATACAAAGTCTGTAATAGAGGTTTTCCCTAATCTTATTACTGCAAACCTCCCTTCTCTTAATAGCCCTTGCATTTTGGTATTAAAAGAATTACTTTTTGCATTCAGGACTGACCTGCACCAAGATCAAAATCCTATTGTTAGAAATCTAAATTTTGCAAAGCTGAGGTTTATAAAAGCTTCAGAAAGCAGAGAGATTGCTGGGTTTCATTTATCAGGAATCTGGCTATATTTCAAAAAAATAAAATTCAGAAAGAAAAAGCATTATGAATACCTCTGTTTGAAAAAGCTTATACTTGTTAAGCACAGAATTTCTGAGTGTTTTTTTCAATCCCATTTAATAATTTAAATGATAGAAACTTGTCTATTAATAGATGATTTGTCAGAGGTAGCCTTTTTGAATAGGTGAAGAGAAAGGAGAGGAAACATTGCTTAGTGGTGACCACTATTTCAGGATCATACTTCTAATTCTAGCACTGACTCACTATAGCCTTGGAAAGTTAACAGCGCTTTTGTTCTAGAAAATACTAAGTAAAGAAAGGAGCCATTCTGTTCTAATAGCAAACATCCAGTTTATTGTAACACTGCCTGGAGTTCATTTACAGGAAAAATCCAATGCCTTTGTTCTTTCTCTCTATGCAGCTAATAAGTCTTGCAACTAAGTATTTCCAGTTTCTAGTTCTGCATCTTCCAGTACTACTACCCTTATTTGCAGTTATCCACTATCCAGATATCTAGATTTACTCATACTGGTTTCTGAAAACAGATTAACTCAATTACGTGGGCAGAATAAAGGGTATGTTTCTCAAATGGAGGAAGACAAAAAAAAAAAAAAAAGACAGCTGTTCCCTACATCTTTAGCAGGCTATTGGGTGATAGCAAAATAAATCAGGCTAACCCAGAAATCTTACAATGTCTGAGAACCCCCCCCCAAAAAAAGCTGTCACTTTAATAGGTGTTACATGACACACTTCTCTCCAGCTACAGCTGTTCACATTTCCTCTACATTTTTAGGTGGGGGATTGGTACTTCATGCCTGATGGACTGATTTCATCTAAGTAGAATCTGCATTAGTTTTACCCTGAGATTTAGTACCTTAATTGCCGTATTTTCATTTCTTGCCATTATCAGGAAGTTCAACTTTTTAATCAGAAACTTTTAGCTAGCACTTTTAGAATTAGCCAGCTGCATAGGTAAAGGTGTGCCTATTTTTGCAAGTTTCACTTTTTTTTTTACATTATTCTGGTTAGTAAGCTGGGTTCTTTAACAGTCACATATCAGAGGCTTCTCTTTCATAGCTACAAAATACTTGTTGATGATAAATTTATTTTTTAGTGAAACTGTTACCCAGCCTATGCTTATCCCTCCTGCTGTCAGGAATTTGTGCTTCAAGCCAAACCAGCTCAGGTTCTCCAATACCAATGTTTCATTTCACAAGGTGCTACTTTGATCTGAGAAGCGTACCACTACAGCAGTGGCCTCTTGAGGGTTTTGGAGGTAGAAGACCGTCTCATTACCCCAAGTAGTCCTTTGTTGTTTTG